TTCCAAAGATTTCTACGTATTACACGCGTAGTCCGTGCTACGCGTGATGAGCCCCTTCCCTCCACACACGGTTCCCGGTGCAGGTATATAAAAGCACCCAAGTACACTTCCGTAAGTATCATCGGCATAATCGAAACGATTTGCACGGAGGGCCCATTTCCCAGATCAGACTCCAGGTAGACATCGCTCTATCCATCTTTGCTTCCTACGTACTTATATCCACACACTCCATCATATCCATCATTTGCCGCTGCCACGCTCGCTGCTGCATTGTTCAATATACGCACGCACTACTTCCCCCTGCAAGAGAATGTGCCTGTATATACCTTCTTCTTCATCTTTTTTTTTTTTTTTTTTTTCCACCAAACTCTTCCGCCAAGCTGGTGCACGGGCATGCATATTCATGCGCGTATCGAACAGTAGCAGCAGCTCTTTCTCTTTTATAAGCGCGTACAACCTGTACGTGTATCGGCTCAAAGTGTATATTACGTAAGCGCGCGGGGCACAGATTGGCAGGCCGGCGGCAGTAAAGTACAGCGGCAAAAAACACCGACCGACGCGGGAAGAAAAGAAAATAACACACAAGAGAGCGACTGCAGACGGGCACGCGCCAGCGCGTGCAGCTTGCGCGCGTGGCCCCGAAATCGGGCCGTTAAATCGGCTGCTGCTCCAGATTTCTTCTCTTCTTCTCGGTCTCACAGCCTATATATACACGCGGATGTATAAAGAGCCAGAGGGACCGCAGCGGCTGTAAACATTATATCTATACGCGCGGAGTTTCTCCACGGAATTTCCATCACCTGCGGCAGCTTAATACACTTTTTCACCAATGCCGACCTTACATATATATACATATATATATATACACATTCGTATGCGCGCAGGCGGTGATTTTTCGCGCTGATAACTTTCGCATTACGAGGCCTCCGCTCTCGCGTTGATCGGCTTATACGTACTTACTTTTTCTTCCCCTCCAATGTCTTTCCTCTTTCCGCCGATATGATTGCGCGAATGACGGAGCGCCGCTTCGGGCCCGTAATGAGTCGAAATGGAGTTTTCTTGATTACTTTGGCCGATCCGTCCTTTCCTGCCCGGCGATGCCTCGTCCTAATGACTTTCGCGATATACAGGGCACACACGGAGCTATGGAAGAAAAAAAAAAAAAAAAGATTAATTATTTACCGGGCCGGATCCGACGGTTTATACTTATAATAATTTATGAACAGTACTATTATTTTTCTCCTTTTTTTTTCACACGCGTGAAAAAACAACGAGAGAGTAAACACAATAAACGCACGGGCGGGGTGGGGAAAATCTTTTGGGGAGCAGCAACAAACGAGAGAAAACGATAATTATACGACAGATGCGCCCGAGATGTAAACGCAGGCATCCTCGGCTCACGAATCGGATGAATGTGCACAGGCACGGCAAAAGTTGAACATTGTTTTTTTTTTTTTTTTTTTTTCTTTACGACTCCCCTATACGTATACGCGAGAACAACACGAGTATAGAAAGCGAAGGAGCAACATGTGTAGGTATCCCTCCGAAGTTCTGATGGATCGTTATCATTATCATCTGGGTGGGGGAAGAGGAAAAAAAAAAAGAAATCTCCAATAATTACCCACCTCGTGCATTGTTGTGCAACCCTTGCTCGGCGTTTTTCTGGGTGTGAATAAATGACTCGGCCTGCAGCTGCAACGATCGTCATAAAACCCAAGACATCCATAATACCTACTCGCACTCCCGTATCCTCTGTATAGGAAAAGCGCGGAGTACAAGACAAGTATAAATATTATATATATATATACACGCCGTACACGTATATATAAATACATCACCTGTAAAGTGCAAGTGCGCACGATGAGCGCGATCAGTTGGGATCTACCGCAAGGTGCACGCGTGTCCAGCAGTTCCGATCGGCCAGAAAAGTCAGTGCTCGAAGAAAGAAAGAGTTGGGCGAGAGAAAAGAACAACTGTAGTGGCAGAGGAGGAGGAGGAGGAGGATACTCGTTGGAAATAATAATAAACGACGCGAGTGCACCGTTTGAGTGATGTGGCCCCGATCAGATATGAACATCCCCGTTTATAGTCCGCTCAAGTGCGGAGGGGGTGTGCTAGGCGCCGTAGATCACGGTGTCGCGCGCGCATCTGCCCCTCTCTCGATCTCGCCTCGATCGAACGCCTTATTGCCAGCACTGCACAATATATATATATATGTATCGGATGGGTGTGTGTATATATATAGGTATCGGCTCCCGAAATCTATACGGTCTGCGCTCGGTAACCGTCCCTCCACGGGGCGATAAGATCGCGGAACCCCTTTTTTTCCGCGGGGGCGCATCTGGGGCCCCATCCTCATTAGCCTAAGCGGTACAAACGGCCCGAGGCGCCCACGCCGCTCTTTTTCTGCCGCTGCTGCATAGTTGGCCGACCGCAAATTATCGGCCTCGTTCATCATCCACCGACGCTCCCCACCCGTTTCGTCTTGTTCGAGCGCCTATACGCCGAAATTATACGAGCCTACGCTTCGATTACCCCTTTGTCTTCTCTTCGGGGTATTTTCAAAGTAAGTGTACAGGTATACACCTTATATAAATATACTACTGTACTACTATACTTGCAAGATGTATATATATATGTAGATGTGTGCATCGATAGGGAGGTGCGCTCGTATACAACTGGGGCCTCTAAACGGCCCGTTAAGTAGGTAAAAATTGATGCACCTTGTGATTTTTTGCCGGAAACCTGCTGCTGATGCTCTATACATCCCCGGCATATATCGGTGAGTAACGATCGGTCGATCGATCTCCGATCTCCTCGTGTGCGTGTGTGTACGCGTATATATATAGGTGACGGACGCACTGCACACAGTATTGCACGGTTTAATGAACAAGTCGATCGGACACACAAAGTGATCAATAGTATAAGATCGTACGCGTAATATTAATTGTTCAAAGGTTTTTGGGGATCGAACAAAAAAACAATAAAATTACTTTTCAACGATTCGTCGTTGAGTACCGATCTGCCGATCCGTCACGGGGAACGGTAACAAAAGGTGGGTATGAAGATACGACGTGGTTTGGCGCCATTCGTCATACGGATGTATATTGTGCACCTATGTGTATATTATCGAATTGACAATGGTGCAAAAAAAAAAAAAAAAAAAAAAAACGGCCAACGAGGAGAGGCAGGAAGCGCGTGGCGAGGCTGACAAAGGCCGAGAATAACGAGCGGGAGAGAGGTGACGAATGCGTAACTCTTTGCTTTTCCTCGGCCTCTTGAAATATACTATTATATATATATATATACCTGCCTACTTATTCAAAAAAATGGGAACAAAAAATATACTTGCGGCGCTCGCGTGAACGAGGGAAACGAAGAAAAGAGGCGAGGAGCATCGATGATGATGGGGCGGCCACCCAGACGCAGGTACCTGCTCATTCAAAGGCAAATGAAGAGAGTATAAATAAGTTCCTACACGCATAAATATTATAAATGTATATATTGTAGGTGAAGGTAGCCAATAGTGTCAATGTGCTTGAATTGCTGAATTTGGGTATACGTGGGCGCTGATTGGGTATATTGTTGACGACACCACTTTTAGGTGCAAATATACTTCAAAGAGGCGAGTTTTTTTTACGATAAGAGACAAATATAGAAATTAATGGGCTTGACAGAGTATTGTTATTTCATAGTTGCGGGCGTGGACAACCTGCACAGGTGTAATGGTAGCGGAAAATCGGTATCCTTGAAATTTAATCGGAGGTGTGTGTCGTTTTTGTTATCCAAAAGTACTGTGTATTTATATTTAGATAATTGTACATTTGAATGTGTCAAAAAAAGGTGGGTGCGTAAAGGTAACGAAAATTTCACATCAAATTCTGTGTGTATTTACCCTAAAAGGTCAATCGGCGGTTGGCTGATGATTTTGTTTTTTTTTCCGCTCAAGTTGGAGGGAAAAAAAATTAAATTGTTACGCCAACTCAATTAAGTACCATATCGTATTGTCACATGTATACCGCTACGAAAGTTACGCCCTAATTTTTTTCGACTACTTCTTTTCAAAGTTTTTTTTTTTTTCATCGATTCGTTATAATACTCGCGCCACCAGCGCACGCACACACGTATACGTCGGAGTTGGATTTGAGTCATTAAAGTGACAAGTTAATCAGCTTATTCATCCTTAAAGGTATACATGCTCGAACATTAAAGAGAAAAATAAAACATGAATATTGATGCGAGTCATTATTATTGTGCGTGTGTTTTTCGCGGCAATAAAATTAACTTTATTTGACGTTCGATTTGCGCATGTACGACATAACGAAAATTAATCGACGAAAACAAGAGATATGTCAAATAAAGTCTTATAAATAACACGCCGAGATAGTAGAGGGAAAGAGAAAGAGACATGTATACACCTTTTAAAGCGTTTATATATATACTCCCCAATACCGAGGGAATGAACAAGTGTAACGTAATCTATAACTAATACCGGCACCGAATGCGCAAATGGTAATTGATGTATCGCTTTAAAAGCACGAAAGTTTTTTTAACAAGGGAGTTTACCTTGAATTCGAGTAGGTAACTCGTGAGAGTCTTTTCGAATAAACTGTGTAGATAAGGTACTCGTTCGAAACTTAATCGATACGTACCGATCGCTCGAAAAAAAAATGAGAAAAATTATCATTATTTTGTCACTAATGGCGAATAAAGTCTTGCGTGGGTAAATGAAACACTCGCGCTTCAACACAAATACTCTATATTTATATGCGTATACTTGGTCAACACGATTGTTTGTGCCAAAACGCTGTATAATTGCATTGCGTCTCAGCGACTAAATTTAAACATTAACAAAATGTAAGATTTGCCGACGTAACTTACGTAAAATCGTAAATTGCCAAGAGTCGAAAATAAAACAAAAAGAGTCTGGGGTATAGGTGGGGGGTACAAATCAAAGTCAATTAGCGCGCAATGAAAACAATTGTCGTTCGGGCATCGGCTCCGATTTGCGGATCGTTAGTCATATAGGTGCCATCTGGCGTAAGAGCGCGGAAGATTTTTTTCGTGTTATTGTTATGGATCATTGCGCGACGACGGCAACATCAGCTGCTGCATCCGCGCTTCCAAGCAGACGACGCAGTAGTCTCGTCTCCTCTTCCCGTGACGTCTGCTGCAGGAGTGAAGTGCAGACGAGTCGGGAAAATGTTGCGTTCCCTCGTCTCGAATCGTAAGTTTTTTTGATGACTGCACTTTGGTTGCGATAGAACTTCATAACGTGCTGATATTTTTTTGTTTTTCACATTTCACGCAATATCAATCGAACTGTCGTACGTGACGATTCGACGTCATTCCTGTCACTGCGTATAGCATCAGAACTTGCATAACCTAAACACGTCTATTTTCATCTTTCAATAATATGTATATCGTTTGTGTGTATACTTGCAACGTTCGAAACACGAATATTTTAAAAGTTAATACTTACGATTTTCCGTCCAACTATACTCAATTGTCGTAAATTGTCTGACATCTAATTGTTGTCACCTGCGAGTGTGTTATTGTTGTTGTTTTGTTTCAGATGCCTTCCAGCAGGGTCTGAATCTGGTGGCGCGCAACAATGCTGTCGCTGTCCTAGGCACCCAGAGCCCGCTTCTAGAGCAGGCCAGGAAACTCGCCAGCGAAGTGGTTCCACAGAAATCTGGATCCTCAGCCCCAGCTGCTAAAAAAGTTGAGCCGTACAGTCCCTTCCAGGGCAAGAACAACACGGTAGAATACGCGTTGGCTAGATTGGACGATTTGCTCAACTGGGGAAGGAAAGGTAAGATATCATTCGATTCTTTATTAATTTTCGACTGAAAGGTTAACGTTAATTGATAAACGAGGAATTTCGTTGAAGGTTCGGTATGGCCTCTGACGTTTGGTCTTGCGTGCTGTGCCGTGGAGATGATGCACATTGCTGCTCCACGATATGACATGGACAGATTTGGGGTAGTGTTCAGAGCATCGCCACGGCACGCCGATGTCATCATCGTGGCTGGCACAGTGACAAACAAAATGGCACCGGCCCTGAGGAAGGTTTACGATCAGATGCCCGATCCTAAGTGGGTCATTTCCATGGGTAGTTGCGCTAATGGAGGAGGCTATTATCACTACAGTTATTCAGTTGTAAGAGGGTGTGATAGAATCATGCCTGTAGACATTTATGTACCTGGTGGGTTTTAAAAATTTTTATATGCAACTTTCATAAAAAGTGGTATCCACTTAACTTTATTTTTACTATGATTCGTAGGTTGTCCTCCAACTGCAGAAGCACTACTGTATGGAATCTTACAGCTGCAAAAGAAGATAAAAAGAATGCAAACAACTCAAGTCTGGTATAGGAAGTAATTTTTTTCTTTCAAAAACTTATGTAGTGATGTTCCAAATACCAGACAATTGTGTAATATAATATCTCATAAATTATTTGATGAGTAACGAAAATCGATGAAATCATATTATTATTTTATTTCCATTACTGTATAAACAAACTTTGTTAAATAAAATTTATTAGGACAAAAGTTCAGTTTCTTGATCAATTGTTCCCATCAAATATGAAATTATATAAAATTATTTGACTTTTATGTTGGGGACAGTAAAAAAAAATTTCATCACAATATTTAGTTATAAAATATTAAAACTTTTCTTTTAACAATCAATCGTTATTTCTAAATCAATCATAATTTATTCAAAAAATACATGTCATATCAGGTAATTTGATATTAAAAATTATTAAAAACTTTAACGATTTATTTTTCAAGAGTTGAAAATGATTATGACAATAGTACTTAAGAGTTATGAAAATTAAAAGCACGATTCTAAAAATAATTTTTGTATAACAAAACGTCAATAGTTGTACTTATATTTACAATAATGTATTAGCTTTACAAGGTTTCATAAAATTCAGACTTGTTTCATTTGGGTGATTAAATTTTAAAACGTGCAACGTCAGGAGTGCATACAATAGAGTCAACAAATATATCAACTTTTTGTATATTTCATTATTTACAATGTTGTCACTTGACATTAAAAATATACAATAGCTCTATACAATTGCAATTGACCGATGTCTCCAAAATTGTATCATACATATTTGGTACCCGCGGTAAAAAGTCTATGTATACAGCTTGTGCAAGCAAAATAAGTATATATAAAAAAAAAAAAATTTACAATAACTTTCATTTTCTTTCCACGTAAATGAAATATTGCACATTAAATTCAGTGTAGCAAATGGTTATTTAAAAAAATATCTGAATTTATTCTGCAATAATTTCATATCTATATACACGAGCGCGCTTATTTATCAATAACTTTTTGTTTTCATACGTTATTCGAGTTCAATAAGCTGTTGTAAGTTATAATATAAAAGTCCAGAGAAGATACTAAAACAAATTTCTGAATTAAAACTCAAGTATAAATAAATTATTTATATAAAATTCACGGGCAAAGTATAAAATGATAAATGTGTGACTGTACATTATCGCATTGACTGCGATGAAGAAGCAGGCGAAGTATTTGGTAATATCGGCAACGGGCCATCAATCCATTGAAGCAACGGAGTATGTTCACTCCTTTGCGTACTTTGGAACTGATCGTTAAGTATCTGTGTGGAAAATGAACGATGCATTTGGAAAGCTTCATTTTCGCGAGCATGATCAGCACAAATCCTATGCAAATCTGTAAAATTAAATTTTTCCAAGATTTTAATATGTATTTTAGCTTATTTATTTATTTACTCATTTATTTACTGTCACGAGGGGGTTGTAGTCATAATAAGCACGAAATAGTTTGAAAGACAGAGTGAGTTTAGTTAAAAAAAAAAAAAAAAAAAAAAAAAAAAGGAATTTTACAATGAAAAGAAAAACATTAGAAAAAAAAATTTGATACCTTTCAATATGGCTGTAGCCCATATTTGGACATGGACATCAGGAATTTTCGAAGCCAATTGCATAGCAGGTGTTACCATGTTCATAGACTCTCTATGATTTCCCAACGAAAGGAAAATGTGACCAAGAAGGACGAGACTACACGACGTTAATCGATTCAAGTCCTCTGCATTTGCCATTTTTAGTGTTTCTCTGAGATACCTCCTACAATAAAAAGATATGTATTCATGTATCACACAAGCATGTTATTGTTTGTAATGATTATTTACTTGGCCTCATGATAGCGAGCTCCATAAAATGCCTGGAGACCTTGCACATAATATGCTGCAGCTCGTATGGAATGCGAAAAAGATGGTAAAGATTCTGGATTCACTCTTTCCATCAAAGTTGCCAATTCGGTATCTTTTCTCGCTCTAATGTATACTATTGCCAAATTTAAATTTGCAAACGTCACCAATTCTTGTTCTTGCGTTGCCTATACATAAATATTAAAAAATTATTGATAAAACTAATGAGTAATAATACCATCATATTTACTATTATTCACATTTAATGCTGCTATCAATTGGTTTTGTGCTGCATCTGTACAGTCCATAGACATTGCATATAAGCCAAGCAAAACATGTAATTGTGCTCTGTGGCTTTGATACAATTTGGGCTGCTGCCTGCACAATTGGCAAGCTTGAGATATTTCAGACAGAGCCATAACTCTGTGTCCCATAACAAGTCGACACATGACTATATGTTCCAATAATATTAATTGAAAGACGGATAGAATCGGCTTATTTTCAATAACTAAAATTCAAATTGGAGATTTAGATAATGTTTTGAAATACTTAAATTTATGTTTTAAAATACGTACGTTTTAAATTTTCTATTTGAACAAGAGCCTTGTCAGTATATTTTTGAGCTTTATCCATGTAACCAGATTGCATTGAATGTACCACTGACACCAAGTATACAAGAATAAATAGATGCTCTTTTGGCATCCAGATAAACATATCACCTACGTTAGAACCAACAACAACATCATCGCTAGGCCACGATGGAGCCATTATCGATTGTATACTCTGCTGTAACTGTTTTAGACATGGTTTTACGCTTTTTACCTATAATAATAATAATAATTAAATATTAATGTGTACTACGTTTATATAAATAATAAGATAAATGAAAGCATTTTACCTGCCCAGATACCAAATAATGACAAACTTGAAGTATCAAGAAGTACACCTTTAGGTATTCTTTTTGATGAGGATTACCTTGCCAGTTTTCAACTTGATGCCCCACTGAATTCAATAATGGTGAAGCTTCAGGGAATTTTTTATCTATCAATAGTAGCATACAACGACTGAGAAGAAACAAGACTCTTGTGTAATTTGCATTGCTTATTTGTGAATAATCGGCACCAACTGCGAGCAACCCTCCAGCCGCATTCAAATCTTTCTCTGATGAGTGTATTTGCTGTGGATTCATTTTCATACAGTCAGTCTTGGTATGTGTAGACAAGAAAAAAAATTTTTAAGTGGCGATTTATACAAAAGGATACTCACAGCAAGCTGAAATATAAGTCTACAGTGCCAATAGACATGGTGTTGTGAAAGTTCAATTGCTTTGCGCAAAATTGATTGACTTAGACCAGACTGTTGCTGTTGCTCGTAAAGCTCTGCCAATACACTAGCTGCTTCAAATTTCACATCGTCAAACGTAATAATCGTTTGACTCAATTGCCACTGCGAAAAAAAAAACAAAAAACAAATTAAAATTAAATGCGATGCGTTAAAAAAAATTGTCGTTATTCCTTGATAACTAATTTGTCAACAATAAATGAATGAAGAAAATAATTGTTATATTCGTAAAACCAAACTCCTTGAAAGTCCTAAATAAAGAATAATAAACAAAATTTTTTTATTTCAAAATAAAAAATGCATCCACCCACACGTATGATAGTACACCTACCCACAAAACACACAAGCATCCGCTAAAAAAAAGCGCGAAAATAGGGGGAGGTTAAGTATGCTAAAATGTGCGGGGGAGGGTGGGTAAAATAATTTTTTTTTAAATAATAATGTTGACTAATATAGTAATTTTTATTCGAGTAAGTACGCAAAAGAAATGAATTTTAGCTGAACTACTTACCGCTCGTTCTAGATGAGTGCGGGCGAGATCGGCGTTTTTGGTGTACGTGAGGAGTATGTTGCCGAGCTGCAGGTGGGTGCGCGCCTCGACCCTCGGCGGAGGCTTAAAATTAAAGACCGCCTGTAGACACTGGATACAAGATTTGATGCTCGGCGGATTCGAGGTGCGGAAGTGCTCGGCCAGGCCAAGCAGCGACAGGTACCAAGCATCCTGGGACGACGCCATTTTTACATCGCTAGCCTAAATAATCAGCCCCCCCGTCTCCAGCTTCTTTTTTTTCTTCTTGTTACGGTTTGCCTGTCGATTACGAGGATGGTGGTAACAACACGACCATTACACGAAGGACAGTAATGACGAACAACACCAACGAACATCCACCCACTCACTGTTGTGTGTACAAACAAGTAGCAGTACAGCTGCTGGTTTAACGGCAGAACTTATATATTTTTTAGCTCCAAAATGTTATATTTGACGGCGTCAACGACGACGACGCATTCGCGAAACACAAAAAATGCAAGCTCCAGTTATACCCTACAATTTTTACTTCTGAAGGTTGCGGTTACGAACCTACACTGTACAAATAAATACGAGCTACTGAAACAAAATAACATGCAAAAAAACTCGATTTTTTTTTTAAAGAAAGAGAGAGACAGAGAGCGAATGAGCCACACACTGACACACACAAACAACGGGAGGGGAGCGTTCATGCACTCTCATAGTCTCATTGCAGTTTCACAGTCAGTACAGGTAGACGCTAGCTCCGCCCAACCACGCGGCGTTACCACGAACCACGACCTACGTAACTATAAACACTTTACTGCTGGCAGCGATGCAGCATTTGCGGAATACAGCCACGATTGTATCATTCTGGTTCTGGTAAAGAGAGCACGGTGTAAGATAAACATGAAGTTATGTGTAGTAATTATAGTTAACGCTACTAAGTAGTGCCATTTGGTCCATTTTATTAAACCATATGAGTAGAATATTTATACTTTTGGAGGTCGATTTTCGAGTAAAAGATAAATAGTAAACTTGCCGCAAACAGCACAATCTATGTTAACTTTGTATTTTATATCCACAAGATTAGTTGCGGCTGGTTTATAATCAATTACAAGGCTTTACTGTAAGTAGTAATAATTATTAGGATCAGCGCCATCTAGCGGTCTTTATTTTTTAGCGAAAAGTGGCCTCTAAAATTCTCAATCTGAGCAATCAGGCTTAGAGCTATTTAATCAATTATAAACCAGCCGCAACTCATGATGAAGCTATAAAATGAAGAATTAACGATATATGTGTTTTAAGCGGCAAGTTAACAATCTATTTTCTACCGAAAAATCGACCTACTATGTATTTATACTTTTGAAGATAAATTTTCGAGCATAAGATAGATTGTTAATTTGCCGCCAAAAACACATGTATCGTTATTTTTTCATTTTATAACCATATGATTAGTTGCGGCTGGTTTATAATTGAATAAATAGCTCTCAGCCTGATTGCTCTGATTGAGAATTTATATATATAAATAGTAATGATTATTTGGATCAGCGCCATCTAGCGGTCTTCATTTTTTAGCGAAAAGTGGCCTCTAAAATTCTCAATCTGAGCAATCAGGCTTAGAGCTATTTAATCAATTATAAACCAGCCGCAACTAATCATATGGTTATAGAATGAAAAAATAACGATACATGTGTTTTTGGCGGCAAATTAACAATCTATCTTACGCTTAAAAATTCATCTTCAAAAGTATAAATACATAAGAGGTCGATTTTTTGGTAAACAATAGATTGTTAACTTGCCGCCAAAATCACACGTATCGTTATTTTTTTATTTTATAGCTTCGTCATGAGTTGCGGCTGGTTTATGATTGACTAAATGGCTCTAATCCTGAATGCTCTGATTTAGAATTTTAGGAGCCACTTTTGGCCAAAAAATAAAGACCGCTAGATGGCGCTGATCCAAATAATTATTGCTATTTACCGTAAAGTCACTTTATTAGTTATAAACCAGCCGCAAATAATCTTATAAATAGACGATAAATAGTTGACATTTTTTACGCTACTTGCGGCAAGTTTACAATTTATCTTTTACCCAAAAAGTAACCTCCAAAACCATAAATATTCTACTTATCTTATATGGCTCATAAAATCGACAATATTTACAAAATTACACTACTCTAGATCTTTTACCATTAACTCATGGAAGCACAGCCCTTTAACTTTATAGTTCTAATAAACAGTTAACTTAAATAATATGTGCATAGCAAAATTTGTGTTACAGATATCTTTAATCACAATGTAATATATACATTAGTCTAAAAGAGACAACTGAAGAAAAAAGGCCTAAAAAATCGATCAACGACACACCAGAAAAGGGAAAGTGCAGAAGAAAAAACCCCCATCAAGTGTCCCCGAACGCGAAACTCTCGAAAACCTGTCGCGCGCGCGCGCGTGTTTTACAAGGTTTTAAAAAAGCGCAAAATAAATATACGAGATACGAGTCTGACAGATCGACCTTACGTGCATGTTGTGTAGTGATCGAGTACGTGTATACTTATATGTATGTTGTGTATAAGGTATACGGATGTCACATACACCTGCAGTGTATCGGGGATACCCATTTGTATAAAAAAAAAGCGTTAATATAGTGGTGATGGTGGTAGTAGTACTTATGCATTTATAAGCTTATATGTACGCGTAATAGCAACGGCACCAGTGCGCGGCTCGGCGGCTGTTGCTTTACTTAGTCGCTTTGCGAGTCTGGAGCTGGTCATTTGCGAGACGATGCACGCGATGAGGACGAGCCATCAGAGACCGGTGGCTGTGATCGGTGTCCTTTTGTGTTTTGGAATCTTGGCCGATTGCAGCGGAAGAACGACCAACGAGACCGAGGCGAAGCTTGCAAAGCTTGTCAAGATCTTCAGTAAACCCGGCGCTTTCAATCAGGTAATTACGAAAAATTTTTTTACGAGCCAAACTTAACAAACGAACCAAAGGTTTTATATTTGCGTTAAAATTCATTTAAGTATCGGTTGAGATGAATTGGGGCAGGTAGTTTTTTTTCTCTCAATTTATTCACAAGTAATCTTCTTTGTTTCCATATGATGCACCATTCCAGCCATCACGCACATGCAACCGTGCATCCCTATGACATGCAAACATGAAACAAATCGTATTTTCACCCTTTTTTTTTAACTTGAACAAAACAATTGTATAAATAATAATTTAAATGAGTACGCGTACACCTTCGGTTTGAAAAACCACCAAAACTTATTTAAACGCTTAAAAAAAAAAAAAAAAAAAAAAAACAATTCTATGGCAATTAAATGTACGATTAAAAATAACAATAAATTCGCATCTGTGGACAGATAGACGCGATCTTCGGCGAAGAAGAGCCACTATTGTTGTCATCGCAGGTGACAGGAGGATCCGGAGCGACCTCGACCTGTCCAGTGGGCGAAGAAGGCCTGGAATGCAGGCGCGCGGAGGCGCGACGCTCCGTCGATTGTCCTCGAGGTAAATTGGCTGCCCATAATGTAAATACTCTCTGTTCGCGCACTTCCGCGTCCGGCTCTTGTTTGCCCTTGACAGCTACTACCACTCCCGCCCGCGGCTGTAAATGAAAAATAAAAAATCGAGTACCCCCCCCCCCTTGCGTATGCGCGCAACTATATTGATCCCACGTGGTTGCGAAAATCGCGTTAATGTTACCGGTTTCCCCTGCATTCTTTTTTTTTTTTTTTTCCCTTGGCACCCTTTTACTTATCTTCCTTTCCCACCCTCGTCCTCTGCCCTCCCTCGTCCTCGTTGTATGTATTTAATTTCGCCTCTCATTCGCGACGCGAGACACTTTTATGCAAGACACGCCCACGTCTTACTCTCACTTTTGTGCGAACAAGTCGCATATTCAAGTATATGCACGCATTTACCTATACCCGACAAAGTAATATCGTCGCGTGCGAAACTCTCGAGAGGAGCAAAAAGAATCGAGCTTAAACTCAAGAGAGTGCAAACACACGTGAAAGTTGATAGGCGAGAACGTAAAATATGAAACTCAACTTGCTTGAGCGAAATTCAAGCGAAGACGCGTAACACACAAATTTATATATGCACACGAATGCATGTCGGCACCAATATCAGTCAATTTGTTGCGTTGACTTGTACATGAACGTGGTTAATATTTACATGTAAATATTTTTTTTTTTTTTTTTCCCAAGGGTAACAAGTTATTTTTAATGTTATTATGGTAATGTTATGCAGAAAAGTGTGTTAGCCGGCATTTAAAATGAAGCAAAATCATTCAGCAGTGCAGCTTTTACACGCATTGCACAAAAAGTTTTTGCGTAATTTTTGGGGTCGAGACGTCTTTTTGTCGCAATGATCCATCAATATTTTTAGTCATCGCAGTCATGGATGTTTTTTAAACTTAAATTGAAAAAAAAAAAAAAAAAAAAAATACGAAACGCGTATAAGCAAGAAATCGAATCAGCCGCGTTACCCAACAAATTTTACGACTTGGTGCGCCCCGTGTGCGATTATCATTACGCGATTGAGGCGAACAAACGAAAAGAAATATTGTAAAACATTTATTATGCCCGTCAGGCGACTGCTATTGCTACAACTGCTCGAAGGCGGGCTCGGAGCTTTGGGCTTCCTGCTGCCGGGAGAGCTTAAAATGCTGCTCCCACCTCGCCGCCGCCTGTCGCACCTGTGACCAGCCCCCGCTCTTCTCCTTCTGCGCTAAACACTTCAAGAGATGTCTCAGCCAACTAAACGACAAAAAAACCATCACCTGATCAGATACGTGAACTGTCGAAGGAACAATCAGTTGTCATTGTAGTTCTTCTTGTTATGTTGTTTTTTTTTTTTTTTTTTTTTTTTACTTACCATACGTAAGTACGCACTGTAAATGTTTTTGCACGAGGATGGCGAGTTGCGTAATTTGAAATGATAATCAAGTATGTACTTATGTGTAGACAATAGTTGTATTTTGGATTTTTTTTTCTTTTTTTTTTTTAATTTTAAAAAAGAGTGTTACCATATACATCTTGTTTGCGTGCAAGTTGCCACGGTTTTTACACTTTCGTCGTATTTTTGTCGTGATTGTACAAAAAAAAAATCCTGTGCTCAAAAGCATACGTAAACAATACATGCAGTACCGAAAAGAAAACAAATAAAAGAAAGAACACGGGGGACGCCAATGTCGCCAATGTGCACCAGAGACACGCAAATTTTTCAATATCATAGAGGCCAAAAATATTTACAGTGCTAAACGCATACTCCCTCGCGTACGCTAACGTACACACATGTACTCTCATACTCTGCTGGCGCAGTAGTGCATCGACGCTTGTGTTTTACTTTTAAATAATAATTTGTACGTATGTACATACATATATCAAATTAGGAGGTGCACAAGAAGTGCTTTTAAAACAAAAAGGATGAACTAAAACGAGCGAGTATTTTATAAAGGAGATATATGTATATACACTGAAACATGTACGTGTATTGCATAACACACTCCTCTCTTGATCAGTGTTTTCTAAATATAGCCACTGCAAAGCATCGTTAGCTTTTTTAAAAACAGCTTTCAAATATCTCTCCACCCTTATTTATTTTTTTTTTACTTTTTTTTTACTTTTTTTTCCTATTGCACGATTATGTACGCTTGAGAAAGCACGCTCACGCACGCATGCACTTATCGTATAAGCTCATTTTGCGTGGCGCCACCAAGTATTGACACACATGTAGATATTGAACGCTTGATACTTCGAAAAGGTTTGCCAAAATACTTTTGTATTTATTTTTTTCAAGTAAAAATGATTTTTTATTGTCAAATTAATAAAGTGATGTCAAGATAACTTATTCTGTATACAGTTATGTACAAAATAACGGCTTAATTATTGTTTCTACTGTACGTAATAGTCATGTTCAACAAACTTATTTTCAACTTCCCGTGCTTCCACACCCAAAATTTTCTGGTCAATATCGAGTTTTGCCAGAATTTTTTTTTATAAATGTCACCCTTTAATAACACAAGGGAAATGCAAGCATGGCTTTATTATCAAAAACATCAGTTGTGGTCACCAGATTCCTTCATTTCTTGTTCTTTTTCAAAAATGAGCAATCGATTGGCATGTAATTTAACAATGGTGATAAAATATTCAAACTATTGCAACAACCAAGTACACTGTAAAATTGTCATAGAAAAAAAAAAGAAAAAAAAAATTATTGGCACAATACAAGGTGAAGCAAGAATAAAAAACAGAACTGGAGCTTATCTTTGTATTTTAATTTCTTTGCAATTAACCAAAAACTTATTAGAAAATCATTATGCAGCCATGATTAACGAGCTGCTATTAGAAATTGAATCATTCAGTTTAGCAATTTTTATTCCATCGATTATCAACAACAGAATGAATTTTTGAACTTTGTATCAATATGAACCTGCTTTATTACCCTCAATGTAAGGTGAGTTGTTTAAAAAATTTGAAAAAGTGATTTTGAGGATTAATTAGCAGAGATATTCATCAATCGTTCAACTTAACTTTGTCTTATGCTAAAATATTTTTTTAATCCATTTTTTGGATCTCTTACAAAATCGATTCAATCACGCTTCCATGCATAATTTTCCGCTTTTCGCATTTCTTTCATAAATACATTCAATACTATTGTACAAAACACGGAGATTCTCGTTATAATGTTACGTGATTGCAAATATACCTTTTGTTATTTTACGACTTTTTATATGCCTTATTGATATTAAGTTCGAAACCTATTGCTTAGTACAAAGAGAGACAGTTATACTATTTTTGTTTACGTTTAAAGTTTATAAACTTGTTTTAAAATGTAAATGGAAAAAATGTCGAAGGCTATACAATAAATTTTTTACTTTTATTATTTGATGATAGACACGAATGGCAAAGGTTGCAATGAAAGATGTGGTCAGACACAGCCAGTCGAGAAAGTTTTTTTTCCAAACATTTTTTTTTTTTTTTTTTCTTCTTGATTTGTTTGCTTGACCAGAGCATTTAAACACAACAACACACGTAAATCCATAAAAATCGAAGGACATCAATTGTTAACTTAACAATTTATTACCTTCAGTATATGCTAAATTTATGGAGAAAATTAAAATAATTTGTATTTTACCACGCGTTAGAATGGTAGTTATCTTTTAAACAAAATGTTATTTTATGGTATTGATTATTTTTTTATGTTTTGTCGAAAATACGTTAATAACTTTGTGTACTGTAGAATTTTGTATCAAAATTGAAAAAATAAAATAAAAAATAATAATATACATTCCACTAAACCATGCATAAATAAAAAAAATTTAAATACTCTTGGTTAATCAATCCACTTAAATGAATTCCATTCACATAAATAGATCTTACTTACAATTAGAATCATAGTTTTCTTAGACTCAAATGAAAATGCTTTCGATTTTTGGAGAAAGTTTATATGTCTATAGTTACCGTTACTTAAAATGTAAAAAATCAATCAATTTTAACACAAAAGAAACAAATGTCTGTTTACGGACAGTGCAAATCCAATGCCTGATTATTATAAACCGTTCGACCAATCATTACATATTATACATCTATTTTTCTAGCATACAAATATTTGTTTTTATATTTCGACTTGTTTTGTCTCTCAAAACTAAAGACAAACGTCTTCTTTTTTTTGTTGTAAATAATATATCGTAGTGAAAAGACACGTTTAAATAAAGACCTCAGTACCTTTTTTACAGTTGAAAAATACACGAAATTTCACAATCGATCTCGAGGAAATTCGACGTTATCACTTGGAAAAAGAAGCACACCATATTAAAACTATACACGAAAGAATCGCAAGGATAAAATATCCCACTCCTTTTTGTCCTAGGCGAACACGTTTTTAGCAGTCGATCAAACAATTTAAACTAGACCTCCTCGTTACCTACCGCGATAAAACAGAGACACTGCTCAATTTTACGAATTGTTTAAAAAAAGTCGTGTCGTACCGCGTTTTAGTAAGGGCCTGGTTACGTTTTCCAATTATGTGGATGAGCACGAGGCGGAGGCTGATTGCTCTGATTCTGGGACATCTGCGACGGAATCATATCAAGCAAGTACTGGCGTTGAAGATTCTCAGTTTGGCGTTGCAGCTCAGCAAGACCCTTGGTGCCTTGAGCGGCCTGTGCCATAGCCAACTGATTATAAAACAATAAGGCTGGGTTGAAAGCTGGAATCAAGTGAGCAGGCAAAGATTGATGTGGTGAGAGACCAGCAGCAGCTACTGGATTCTTTGCAAGTTCTGAAAATAGAAACAAATCAAATGATAAATTACGAGTATCAAGACTATTTTACAAATTCAGTACATAATAACATCGATGTTATTTTAATCAAAAGATACGGATTTCAATATAATACTGACCTCTGAACAACTGTTGTTGTATAGCCATTGCAGCAGCTGTCGCATGATGCGGAAATTTGTTGCTATCCGAAAGTTTTGCAAACTGGTGATCCTGAAGCTTTGATGACGGTGGTGTAGGCGCCGGCGGAGGAGCTTGCACTTGTACCTGTTGCGGTGTAGGAGGCGTGACGACTCTCCTCGTAGGAGTGGGAGCTTTGGGTACCTGTTTTGGAATAGGAGGATCGGGACTCGGACACGTTGTTTGCGCCAATCTCTCATCAATCTCTTTTTCTTGCTTAAGAGCTTTTACAAAAGCAGTTTTCAACCTAGCAACAACGTTAGAGACATTATTAAGGTACTCTAATAATTACCGATGTTTCTTTGACTGTTGGTATACATACCGATTAGTATGTTCAGCCTTGAGTGCTTTTTTGACATTAGTTGTGACACAGTGCTCGCAAATGACACGAGGATCCCTGCCTGCTGTAGGTCGCTGGAAGGTCGCGTGTTGGCCTTGTGGATTATCTTTTTTATTACTATTTGACGACTTTTCCCATTTCCAAACTGGTGTGAAGTCAGTTTTACATTGTGTGCATTCGAATGGCTCGGGAGGTGGAGGAATAGCCGGTTCTTTGGTGATAAAGTCGACTACGTGTTCCAAACCAACCAAATAGATAAATTCTGGATTCGCGGGACTTGGTACAAAATGCATTTCTGGTGGCGGTGGCTTTGGAGGAGGTATTTGTAATAGAGTTTTTTCCAGCTGTTTCCTGAGAGCTTGTTTGGCAGCTGCCTGGCGTTGCGCAGGAGTCTCTTCCCGAGGTCGTTCCTGAAAAATCACGTAACGAATAATCAATGGAAAATAGCTTCTTCTTATTATTATTATTATTATTATTAAAAAAAAACGATTTCGTAAGGTCATTAACAACAGGATTCAATAATTCAATCGTTCAGAAGCTGAAGAAGAAAAAAAAAAACAGCCATTCGATGATAAATAAGCACAGCCTTTACAAACACATTTTTATGCAAACTTTGCACTACAATACAACAATGAAAGAAAGCCTAACTAACGAAAATTTTGCACAACTAAGTGTGTACCTGATCAGGAATGACAGGTGCATTTAGAGGCACAGTAGGCTTGTTTTCTTGAGATCCAACAAGCTGTTTTGCGTGTACATACAAATTATCGTGAATTAATAGAGATTGCACATGTGACCACTGTGGTACGTCAAATGAATGATTCGACGTTTTGTTAAAAAAAAAATTTGTTCAAGCTAATACAATAGTTTGAGTACTCTCTTAACTATACTGAGAATCAATTGATTATATTTATAAGACGAAATAATAGGAAGAATAAATATAAAAATTGGAAATTACTTTTGCTTGCATCTGGTGCGCCGGGGTCGGAGTGGGATCTTTTGTAGATCTTTCAGTTCTATCAGCAGGAGGGTGATAACTAGATACATTAGGTGTATTTTGTGTAGATCTTACTCTTGGATGTGGGGGCTGCGGTATTACCATATTCGGTATACCAGTGCTAGACAGTGAACTTCTCAATGGAGTTGGTGGCAATACCATATTAGGTGGAGGAGCATGTATGGTGCTGCTTCTACTTGGTGCTGGCTGTCCCCTCAACAGAGGTGGTGGTGCCTTACCAGTTCTGTGACTAATAACAAGCAAATAAAACATGAATTAATAATTGTTATACTATACTTTGGTGATATTTTGTGCGCTGTATCCTACCTGTGTGAAGTTACAGGTTGACAAGTAATAGATGGAGGAGGCAACTTGTTTTGAACTTTCGGCACAGCTGCAATGTTTTCTTTCAATTGCTGAGATTGCCGTAACTTCTTTAAAAGCACCAGTTTCATTTCTTCCGCTCTCACCTCCTCCTTGAATTTTTTCAAATTTCTCTCCCTATCAGCCAGTTCTTCCGAAGTCAGTTCTTTGATAGGTGGCAACGGTGGCATCTCCCCCTCATCACTGTCAGATGCGTTACCATTCAAATAGCCGTTGATTCTTGGCTCATCAGGACTCTCGGCATAACTTCTCTCGGTCCTTGGCCTGAGATTACGTCTAGGCCTGCGATCATCCCCAGATTTGGATGCGAGAATGCCCCTAGAAGAATTCTGTATATTCCTCGACTCTGGCATGTTATTGTCTAAGCTGGGACTAGTTGTGTAATTAACACCCAAATCCATGGGAGTGCCTGCATTATTGTTTATCGAGTTTGCTGGTGTGGCTGGCGATTCTCTTCTGCTACTACTGTCGATTTGTAAAAAAAAAAAATAAAAATAAAGAGACAAGAAATGAAAACGTAATTAGAAAAGAAAAGAGCATGCGATTAATTGGCACTTGTTAAAAATTCATGAATAAAAATTATACCCAACGCTCAGATCAACAACGGCGTCGCCGTCTATGTCCATGGCTTCCATTATTTTCCACAACCGGAGGAAAAAATCCACAACCTGTGTTGCAGCGCTCCGATAACGGTAACGACACACACGGCAGCAGAGCTACAGAGAGCAACAGCAGCAGACCGCTTCGATTCTACAACAGACGGGCCATTATCGCAACTCCCCCTCTCTCCTTCCTAGATCCTTCTGCTGCTCCTGCGCCGAAAAAGTAGACGATGCAGACAGGAGACCGACTCGTAGGTGGACAGGAGAAACAATTAAGGATTTTACACTGCGGTGCAGAATCTCTTCCGTGATAAGACTTAACCTAATCCTCTCTGCCTTTTTTTTTTACTTCGGATGCTCCTCTTGGACGCAGCACATATATAACTAAGTGATACGCGTGCTGGCTACTGCTACTGCTTTGCTGATGTTAATGCGTGTCGCGCTGCTGATGCGGCGGTGGCGGCGGCGGCGGCGGCGGCGGTGGTGTGACGACCTTGTTGGCGGCAGCGGCGGCGGTGGCACTTTTTCGCCCTCCGAAATCTCTCTCTGCTCCTCTTCTTTTTTCCCCCAAATGTAAGGACAAGTAGTTGTATGCGCTCTAACAGAATGATACAAAATAATAACTTGAAACAAAAGAGACGACAGACGCGTTCAGCAGCAACGATAGGCCAGATACTGAATAAATTGAGAAAGAGGACCGTGCAGACGTGCAGTTGATGGGTACATATTACATGTGTGTACGTATGTAATATATACGTGTTGTGCGGAAAGCAGAACCACTAAACAAGAGAAGAAGGTGGGACACAGCCGCGAAACTGCTCTCTCTCTCTCTCTTTTACCCCCTCCCCCCTCTTACGTTCCGCGTCCAGGCAAAAGAGATGAATTCGCGCGCGTGCAATGGCTTTTCCGATTTTTGTGTTTCTCTCATTTTTATGTATTATTTCCTGCCAAAAGTCTAAAGTTGGGTCAATAATACTTATTTGTAATTGAAGCAACAATTATAAGTTGTCCACTCGATAATTTAGTACCTATAAGTTCAATAATTGAGTCACGATGGGGTTGTTTAGGATTTTGTGAGTAAAAGTACAGTTAAAACGACGAAATATGTTTAAAAGTCTACATTCAATGAGTATCTAGTATTTTTTCCGTTTGATGTAATACTTGAAACTTTAAAGAAATACAGATAAGATTAAGTGAATGCTTCACATTCGTATTTTCGCATGACAATTTTAGAGATAAAGTGGTTTAAAAATATAACGCCTTTTCGTTAGCTCATTGTCAACAAATGGGCAGTCAAAAATCACTTAATTCTCAATCCTCCAATTACAAGATAACACCGCACCCTTTTGACGTTGTGTAAAGTGTTAGGTACTTATAGAGATGAGTTATCATGTACGGCAGTACTGAATTTGTGCTGGTCTACACATTTGATTAAAAAAAAATTTTGTTGCTGTATTAGTTAATGGTTTTAGCAGCCACAATTTAAACTTTGACTAATCAATTCATTGCGAACGTCCCGAAAATGTACCACGAAATTAATGCTACTTAATGAATTTTATTTTGTTGTCTTTCCTCAAAAACTGCGAGGCCCATATCTTGAAAATTATAAGTTAAACAAAAGTGATTAAATTTCAAGCGTTCTGCACGAGTTTTCGTTATTGATTCAAAAAATACTGAGCCGATCTTATCTTATAATGTATACCGTATCATAGATTTTTTAATTATTACCAAAGAACGCCTTCTGAATTTAAAGCCACGTCATGTTTTCACATAATGATTGTATTTCCAAATTGAATTTATTTACCCCATTTTTCTTTCAATTTATTATTTAACTCTCACGCGGTAAACCCATAGACTTCAAAATATTAAAATAATGTCTAAATTATCATATTTGAAAAACTTAATCGAAATTTTTAACAAAAATCTATTTACTTTGAAACCTTGGCGAAAAAGTACCGGCACTTTCTCTGCTTCTTTGCGGTCATTGTTTTCTACGAGAAATATAAAAAAAAAATTCATTTTATTTATTTTTTTTTAACGAAACGTGTACACACGACATGGAAGTACCAGTGCAAAATTTTACTTTGTACAAACCCATGGTAGGAAAAAAAAAAACGTTAATTAGCAAGTACTGTGTATATTTCAATTTTTAAAAACCACTCGTGAGTGAGAGCTATACTTATATAGTTATATAGTATAAGAATACGCACGTGCGTACGTACACACACCAAAAGACTCAAATGTATAGTGTGACTATGTATAGGTACACACATTTACGTGATTTGCTACGATCATGCATGGAAAGGTAAAGGTACAGATAGAGTGAGTTGCAATTGCAAAGGATAAGTACTTATTTATATAATCAATGATTAATTAGTACGAGAGATGATAACGATCCTTCAATTGGAGCCGGGACTCATATATACGTACATGATAACCCCGATCCCCCCTCACACTTCAAAATGGCGCAGGGTTCTTCACTCCTCTTCACGCGGTTCAACTGAGGAGGAGGCGATCCTTTTTTCTCTCTCCCTTCGTTCCGCTCTATATTATATCATTATTTGGCAGAATCGTCGCTTATTCGCAAATTCACCCACAGAATCGTAACTTAGCTTATATTTTCGGACACTTTGGACGACCTGACGATCGTTTTTTATCAAACCACCAGCCGAGTAGTCTCGGCACGATACACTACAACGCTGCACATCACACACCGAGACTAAACTAAAGAGGCGAGAGGTGTATACCGTACCCGTACCTATTGTTCCTCTTTGCCCTTTCGTATGTTTTTCCCTTTCCGCCCTCTGCAACGAACCATTTTGCAACCTATACCTATGTATATATGTCCTATCTATATAGGTGTATAACATATATGCTCACTATACTACTGCTCATGTGCTCATCAGTTACTCACTACTACTACATGCATGACAGCATAATATGAATCGAGAGCCGCATTTAACAAAACGTGAAACGTGACACTCCGTCTCTCTCTCTTCCTCATACACAAATTTGTGTTATATAGATAGGTAGTTTTAGGAGAGGGGTTATTTATTTTTTATTTTTTTTTTTTTTCCAAGATATATCAAAAATGGAGCCTGCGAAAATTTTCCGATTCACATTATTCTTCCAGTGTTCGTAGGTGCAGGTGTTTGCATTTCGCTTCATCTCTGTGAAAATAAAAGTTAGGCAAAAAAATTTAACAATATGATTACAATCAAAGCTGTACAATACCATGATTCATGTTTTATTTACAGAAAGTTGCATCAATGGCTTTAAAAGTGCGTTTTGACTGTGAAAAATACAATTTCACTTCATATTTTTACACTCAAGTTAGTGCTGAATCAACAAAAATTTTAATCTCAATTTATTTACCATGAAATCGAAAATGATTTAATTTAAACTTTATTCAAAAGAAGTAATTCATGTAAAAAAAGATGAATTGATCGAAAAAAAGTGTATCGCTGTTCAGATATTTTCAGCTCGATAATGAATCGAGGAATGATGGGTGCACAGCTTTGGATATACATTTGGAAAAAATGGTTGGGTATAAACAAAAATATCAATATGAATATCAAGAGTTATTTTATTGAAAGTTGTTTAATGTACAAATAAAGTCTACATAACTTTTTACACAAAAAATGTTTGACAGAAAACCTATATTGTTAATCATTGTTTGATCCAAGATGTTCTGATAGCGAAATTTTGGTATGGTGAAGAAATAGCCATGTGTTATTAAAATAGAGCAAGATCTATTTGTATCAATAAACGGATAAATTTTTAGATTATAAATTTTGCTAATCGAAAAACTACCGATTTATACCTTTGGCTTTAATGTGGTGATCACATCGTCTCCAAAAGTTTTGGATCAACTTACATAAATTTGATAATTTTATTGTAATTAAAAATGAATTCATGTGGCTGTGTAAGCCTTAAACATTTTTTTTTTGTTAAGTCTCGATAATTATTAATTTTTCCAAAGCACATAACATTATCAAACTTAATTTTTAAAAGTTATAGTACTTATTATTTTTATATTAATAT